ATGCACCCTGTATATTGGAAAGTAATTTTAGAATGTGGACCTTTTAAACGTGAAAAACTTTCGTTGGACGAATTTTCTTGTAAACTTCATATTTACTGAGATATCGCACTTTGACGCACTAATGAGCAACCCTGTATTTTAATTTTTATAGACGTATGCACTTTTATTGCATTTTTTGCTATGAAGCATTTTATAAAACGTTGCAATTTTCTTCATTGATTATGTTAAGTATTATCAAATTTTGACACTTGTTTAATGAATTCCATAGCCACCATAGAAAATGTAACAACCTTTTGAAATTGTTAAATAAAATAATTTATAATTTGAAAACCGTTGATTTCACAGCTTAAAGTGTAAATGCAAATTTGTAGCTTTGTAAATTGTCTATCTAATGACGTATTGATATACAGGTACTTCCATTTGAAAAACGAAAGTTATATTGTGTTGGAAAGTTTTAGATTGAAGTTTATATTGTTAACACCCTGTACAATGTATTGATATTTTGGTTCAATACGATTCTTAACGGATCTGTGGTGATTGGAAATACGTATTTTTGTGTATCTTTAACTGCTTTTTTTTAATTCCACAATAAATTTTTAGATACGATGTTTTTAAGTACAATTTTACTAAAATGACGATAATCTGGCAACGTCGCAAGTAAGAAGAAAACCATTTACGATGCGTATGCGGCGTTTTAAGGTGCATTCCATGAGCTAATGAAAAATGGGTAGTTCTATTTTAAAAAATACACTTTGATCTTGCCTCACTTTTCTGAGACACTCTGCATCATATAAGATATTTTTAAAATGTGCGCACTTTGTGCGTCAACAACTTTTATATGAAACTATTTTTCGAAAGTTCAACACCAACGGAATAATGGACTATCTCGCACTAAAAAACCACCCTGTATATGTAAAAGACCAACTAAACAATATTTAAAAAAGAGAATGTACGAACATAAATACAGTCTGAGAAATACTAGCGAAAATGAAACAGCATTAATACAACATGCACACCAAATGTCGCATAATTTTGATTTGAACAACGCAGATATATTAGTTAAGGAAACAAATTATGATAAAAGAAATGATACAAATAAAAAAACATGCAAAAGTAGTAAATTTCAGATCAGATGCCGACAACCTTAGTAACATTTACCAAACCCTAATAAAGCCATAAGTATGGAACACCCAGTACACTGGGCAAAAATTAAAACTATTTCTGCTTATCTCAATACGTGCATACACTCTCGCAAATGTAGAAAATAATTCAGACAAATTTAAGGTTTCAAGAAGGCAAAGACCTAAAAGAACGTTGATTTTTACCAATCATGGGGTAAGTTTTTTCGGTGTTTTGCTCTCCCAAAAGGAAGGATTTTTTTCCCTCAAAAACTGGTGAATGCTTTAGCACTTTGTAAATTATAGTTTTTATACAACATGTTTTAATTGGGAATTGGTGTTTGTAGTTTGTGTAAAATTTTAAATCTGATGATGGCGCTGTTGTCTCGCCGAAATGTAATGAAATAAACGATGTTTCAAAAAGTTTTACTTCACACTTTGACTGAAACCCAAGAAAGATGGGAATATCATAAATTGTACAGAATAAAACCAGCCTTATTATAGTAAACAGAATCAAAATAAGAATCTAACCGTTGACTAGAAAAGAATGGCATTTTGTGCAAATTGTGAGTCAACTAAG